GGTAATCAGTCGATTCATGACTTTGTATACATACAGTTTCTAAAATGTTAGCCAATGACTTCGATAGATACTTTCAGAGAAATAATGATGATATAACATCGATGACTATAAGTTTATTAGTTACATTTTTTTCATCTAAGTTCTGGCCAATTCAAAAATATATTCTAAATAATTAATAGTCAGCTATTCAGTCTTAATTTGTTTGCTAACCAAGAACCCCCTTTCAAATAGGAAAAATTAACGGTGAACATTATTATTTTCAGTGGCATACTAGGTTTGAGTAGTTTTATCTGTGCATATATATAAATACAAAGGGGTGGTTATTGTAGTTTGAATTTATTATATCCCATTCCACCAAACATATAGTTGGTCTAGAGGTATTTAGTGATTTTATTTTACTTTATGTACCTGGATTTCTATTCAGCTTTGTGTCTTTGATGATAATCATCAGGTTTATATTGGTTTAAATCAAAGTTAGTTGCCAGTCAATTTCACATAACACTACATCATGAATAACTGATTTCAACTTCATAGGACAAGAGTTAATTCAATGTGACTACTTGTTGGAATCTAAATATTTGACTGATAATTCAATACAATGGGATCTATCCAAATTAAACACATTAAAAAAAACAAGATATTAAGAATTCCAGGTTGATTTATGTGGTATATCCTTGAATTTATCTTCAAGTTAATCTAAAAATGATTGTTGTTTATGAAATTAAAATCTATATATATTTTCGAGTTATATATAAAAAACTTTTAAGAACAATCAAATGGGATCATTTATTAATATTGATAAGTAAAGTCTTACATCTTTGAGAGAACAAAACTCATCCAATTTTTTCTAGTTATCTAAACTTATGTGAAATATGTTGATTAAATGACTTTACATCAAGTAGTTTCATTTGAAATCAATCATTATCTATGACGAAATAAACTTAGTCAGTCAGTCAGTCACATCTTAGAACTTCGTACGTTCGTACATCCGTTCGAGTTGCCATACCAAATTAGCACAGAGATACAATTATCGATTGAAATCCTATAGTGGTAGAAATTGTAAAAATATAAACATCACACTAGACCATGTTGTTCATAATCAAATCCTTCATACACCTCCTAACAACTCTCTTATCTTTACAACTACAATACTTCTCCCATTCTTTTATCATCCCGTGCCTCTAATTCAAACGAAATAAACAAAATGACTAACATTGTCTACAGAATGAGTCACAAAAAAAAATTTAGCTATTCTCACTTATTAACAATTACTACTTAGTTAATTATTTCATAAGTAATAAACTGTACTTATGAAATTAATCTCATATAGCATTGAGTCAAAAATCTAAACAAAATATTATTATAAAAAAAATGTTGGCATACCATTTGATTATCATAGGGATCATAAATTTTTTTAATAGTTTACATTTGATCTAACGACATTATTCGTTCAGTTTAGGTCAATGATTTATTTTTTCAACAAAAAGTGTATAGATTGTAATCCAATAAATCAATTCACATAGATGTATTTAATATACAGACAGGTTTAAATAAAATAAACTGAACTATGATCATAATAAAGAATATTCTAGATAGTTTACAGTTTTTTATCATTGGTAATTGTAATTATAATAGTTGAATTCATGAGTCAATATGTAAGTCAGATCACTATTGAAAAACTTGGAATCATCGGTGGTCTTTTAACTTATATTGATTGATGTATTCAACTATTAAAATTACTACAATCTCGATGAGCACCATTCTCATAATCATTGTAATTACGTTTAGTTACAGTGAAATCAATAATATGTTGTTATCTTTGGTTAGCCTATTTTATAATGTTACTTTTATGATTGGATATGAATCTCTCTGAATTTCTTTTAGTAACAATATATACAATCGACATTTGATAATGGGTAATTTGTAATGATTTAACCAACCCGATAATAGGTTTTCATTTAAAAAAAAATTATCGTGGATGCGCACTGATGAAAAGTTTCATATCAGGGCTTTCAGGTATTTCATGTTGGTCTAGTTTCAATTAACTTATGAATTCAACCATTAAATTACTATAATATTCACAAAAACCCCTCTCCGAAAAAAAATATTTGCCAGGAAACGATTGAAATGCAAGGGAAAATTATGGATTATTTTAGGCCAACTAGTTGCTCTTCAACAGTGTATGAACATGATCATATCAACATTAGTGTTATCTTTAGCCGATTGAATTGTACTGTAATAACATATTTTTAAAAGTGGTCAATCATGATGTAACACCCAAATCACTGATTGTTTTTTAATTGGTATCTGGCTTAATTTCAAGATAATTATATTTCTGCAATTAGGATGTGTCATTAAAATGTTGAGTATTGAACTCAAAATCAGTCACTTGTAAGTATGAGATTAGTATCCGACTAAATGAATTATGATGACTTGCTTGATTTTACTAGTTGATTTTCCTCAAATTCGATATTTCATACTACGTACTAATGTATCTTCATTTACTATTATGAAACCGACAATAGATAGATAATACTTTCTTATTATATTTAATAAATAGTAGACTCTTTTTACATTTAGAGCAAACAGGATTTTAATATTATCTAGTTAATTACACATGTTAAGTCTATAAATGCAAATGAAGATCGTAATACTTTTCTGTTTTAGCATTCGTTATTTTATTTTTCAAACCCTTATATAATATGACTGTTCATTTTATTTAAGTAGAAGGTTGTTTTTTAATTTGGTCTTAAAAGCAATCTCAACATAAATACAAGGTAAACATCCCTTTCAAATAGGATAGAATCAACAACTTAAAACTGTTCAAATCTAATATGATTATGACAATAATTGGGATTGTTTTAAAAATAAAAACCCCGCCATTTTTGCAATTACTCAATTTATAAATTATTCTGTTTACGTTTCTATATAATTTCTATTATTTCTAACAATTCCAACACAGTATTCACGGTTAATTACTGTGATGATATAACCAAATAGGTTTATCTAGCAGTAATTGAAAAAAAAATGTATTAACTATGAAAAAAAGTTCCATATAGTGATAAATGATCTATCAATTATTGGTAAAGTTAAAATTATGATTGTAATAAACCATAAAAACATTCTATTCAAAATGATTATATGTTGATATTGAATGTTTTCAAAAATGGTAGAAGTCACTTGAGTGACATATGAAGTTAAAACATTACTTAAGTAAATGTTCCTGGATCATTATAGTGATATTGTGGTGTGTGCTACTTGTATTGACATAAGTAGTATATGATGTTAGTCGTGGACAGAAGGTCTGGCAGCAGAAAGACAAGAGGATCGAATGGCAAAGAATTGAAACAGGATGCAATTTGTATGAAAACGCAACAACAATGAAATCTGAGTCATTTTGAGACAATCGGTGGACGTTTTACAAATTAAGCATTTACTATATGATTGTTAGATTTTATTAACAAGTCCTGTGATTTTGTGTTAAATACATTCGATTGTTCTCATTTGTGTTCTTGTTCACTACAATATTATTATAATATATAAGTCGTAAGCTTTTTTTATACACAAAGCTAATTATTAAGTTTGATTATACATGTTTATCAAATAATAAATATATCAGTTTACTTTACACTTGATTTCAACGATTAACTGTTTAGGACTTAGATAACAAAGTTTAGAATCGAAAGCGCTTTTGAATATAACTATTTTTAATTAGTAGAGCTATTGTTCAATCAAATACGTAACTTATTTCTAAATAGTTGACCACATTTCTGGCAGTCTTTTCAAATATTTGATTCACTATACAAATAAATATGTATGTACAACATAAATAATATTTAAAATGAAGAATTAAATTCACTTTAATGTTTTCATCGCATATGTACAATCTTTCTTAAATTGAGAATATATGGACAAACCAATCAGGTATAAGATAACAGGTCTTGGATTTTGGTGTCAGTTCGTGATGAAAACCCTAAATCTAATTCCTAACCTTAAATATCAACCGTTAATCATAATTCTAATTCATCACACTGCTTTATAACCCTGATTTGGTCTTAGTTATTCGATGGACATTGTCAAGGTCACTTTAGCGTCTCTCAAAGGTCGTCCGTAAATTACAGTCTCATCGAATATTCTTCTATCAGAAAAATGACCTAATTATTATTGTCCGTAGTTTACACATTTTTTCAGTATAAATTATCCACTCTTTTATATTACTTTGTACTGACGGAAGGCCAGCACTAAATATTGTGCTTTTCTACTGAAAAAAGTTAGAAGTTAGCACAATAAAGACAATAATACATATCGTTTACTTAAGATTTATAATAGAAGTAAACAATCTCTCAATTCTATCCGATATTAAAAGACTGATGTACAAGTAGAAATACTCTTTCTCATTGAATAACCTCTATAATCTATTTTCTTTAAATAAGCATAAAACATATACTCAATATAAGACTTGTTGAGCGTCTTATAATATAATTTAATTTCCCATAGTTATAATGTTTATTGGAAATAAAAAAAAGCTCAAATATCTAGAAGTTATATTTTAAGTAATATCGACGAGACTAACAAAAATAATCAAATTAGTTAGTTTGTTTTGTTTTTTTTTGTTTTTTTTTAATACTTAAATATGTTTCTATCGCGCTAACCTTAATTGAGAAATGATTGGTCAGTTTCGGTTCAGTATACTCTTTGGTTAAAATTGTCTTACTAGCGAATAGCTATGTAAGAATAAAAACTAAACTAAATAAAAACTTAGAATTTTATCATTATATTAATGAAATATTTAATCATGGAACATGTTGAATGATTTGTAACTTATTTATATTGTAGACTATTCTATGTTATTCAATTTCTATATTCTATTTAAAGTAATTAATTGTAAAAATATACAAATAAAAGTTTATCATAATACAATATTCAATAATTAAGACATTATAACCTTCTTTACCAAAAAAAAGGCATCTTGATATTGTTGAACATTTAATAAAAGGTACTTTTAATTCAATTATTTAATGAATCATAATACATCGACAACTTGTTCTAATTTTATGAATCAATTTGACCAACAACAAACTTATTATATTCATGATTGTCAATTGAGAACACAATCAAAATATTGTTTACCATCTGAAATTGATCAAAATAAATTAGAAACAAGAATTGTAATTGATGAAATTAATCATAATCAACCGAATTATTTATTATCTTCACAATTTCATGAACCTTTAGAACAGAATTTAAATGTGTTTTCTAAACAGGATAATGATTTAATGAGTATGTCAAGTCAAAAATTAGATATACCTTTAAAAAGTCAATTGAGTATTAAAGAAAGTCATACAACACTAGATAAATTACATACAAATTTATCAAATGATTTAATATATGATAATGATAATAAATGTATAACAGTGAAATGTGAAAATCTTGGAAATAATAATGAAATACAATCTACAAATCTAGATAATGTTATTCAAGGAAAAAAACGTGAAATATGGGATTCGAAAATTGATTTCTTATTGGCTGTTATTGGTTTCGCTGTAGATCTTGGAAATATTTGGCGATTTCCATTTATATGTTATCGTAATGGTGGAGGTAGGTTCAAGTAAATTGTAATATATATATATATATATATATATATATATAATATATAACTAAAAAATCTAAGGATCTTAATGTTGATCACAACTACATTACAATTTCATTTCGTTCATGAATGATAAAACATTAAAATCCAACCTGATGTTGATCTATGATCAAAAATTCCATTCATACTTTGATATATAAATAATTTTTTCAGAATAAAAATGCTGATATATATATATATACTGACTTATGGTGTAAAATTCTGTAAAATGTACTAAAATCAACATGATCTCGTTCAAACCAGTCGACATAATTAATTACATTTGTTGTTTAGTGTATTTGTGCATTTAAAAAATAAAACCAATAAAAACATGCATATTATTGTAAAAACTATGAATTAACACTAGATGTCACTAAAATGATACATAATTTTAAAATATTTATGTACAAAGATGAATTAAACTTCAACCCATTGCATAAACTAATGGCTATCTGAACTCAGTAGCTAAGTGGATAACATGACTGCGTTTGAAGTGAACGATACTGGGTTCGAACACAAGACTAAAGATTAACTATGAAATGCAGATACATCCAGCCGATCAGTCCCAAATAGGACGAAACGGGCGTCCTGAATTCCACCGCTAACCACTATCCATATTTGTCTAGAATGCTTATGAATTAAGATAATATCAAAGCAATCCTCATAGAATGCACATTTGTCAATAAAAGGCTGATCAGTTACAATCCTAGATATTAATCAGAAGATTCAAACAACCAATACAAAAATGAATACGTATATAACTTTGTTTAAAATTATGAAACATAAAATCATGCTAGATCAATATGATCGAAATAACCATAGAAATAATTATTCAACTCCTTTTTCTAAATATCTTCTATCTAATTATGAATTATATAATATAAATAATAATATTTCCTTTTCTGTGTAATTATAAAGTGGTCTAGCTTCAATTGACTTATGATCTCAACTATTAAAATGAATATAATATCCACAAAACCCCTTCTGATAATGAATGTTTAATTTAAATTAAAGAGAAAGATTATTATTTTGTGACTGAAGAAGAAAGAATTAATTTCCAATCGAAATAACCTATTTCTCATAGTTCAATGGTGAATGACAATTTCATAACTAAATGTTTATTCAATCTAATCAATTAGTGTAATAAATGAAATAAGCAACAACAAAAATAATCAAATACTTTTATTGAATTCAATAAATTACTTTAGTATCATAATGGGGTTTTGTGGATATTATAGTAATTTCAATAGTTGAGATCATGAGTCAACCGAAGCTAGACCATCATGGAAAAGTTGGAAGCACTGGACGGTCGTTTCGTCCTGTTGTAGGACTCCTCAACAGTGAGCATCCACGACCCTACCTCACGAGATTCAAACCCAGGACTAATCCGTCTCGTGCTTTCATGTTTTCCATATTGACCTAGCTTTAATTGACATATGATCTCAACTATTGAAATGACTTTACATAAAATCACTTAGAACATTGATAGAATCTTGAAATGATGAAATTATCTAAAGCTACAAGCCTATTTCTTATTATTTCATACGACAATAATCGTAATCAACTAAGCAACTTTTTAAGTACATGTGTATCACAATTATAAATTTTCTTTTTACGACTGATATGATAATATGAATTATATACACCAGAATGATCTGATATTTTGAAAGTGATCATTAAACTAAGATTTAAGGATCTGAAGTTTTTAAATAATCATGTATATTTAAAACAATTAGTCCTTTTGATAAATTTCGATAGTGTAATAAGAAGACGAAGATTATCAGGACTATGTGATACATTAGCGCAACACATTTAGAACAATCCGATCATACATATAGTTGTTAAGATCATTTATGTATAAAAATAAAAGGTCAACTAGACTAGAAGTGGAGGGTTAGAGGAGACATGGATAATATAGAAATAATGTGGTGTTGTACAAAAGTGCAAAAAGGTGTATACTAAGGTTTATTGAAGCCTTAGCCATACAAAATTTCAAATCCCCTCTGTGTATTGAAAAACAGTTTGTTCTCACCTTTAACCTACCCTGGTAATATTAGCAAATTATCCACAGTGATGTGGTTTCAAATTGTTTTCACATTATTTGCTTTATTATCGTTGTCTCCTCTTACCCTCAATTTCTAATCTAGTTGACCTTTTATTTAAGATAATTAGTCCAATAAAAATTAATTTATACCCTATGATTCGAAACTATCCATAAATTAATATTCCATTATAGGTTCATAGACAAAAATAAATAAACTTACATTTTATTAGATAAGTCGCACTGAAACATCTGAAAATCAAAGTTTATTAATCACATTATTATGTCTATGAATAAAACTACCACTAACTTTCTTCTATTTTTATGATGTAAGTCATTTCATCGGATAATCTAAAGTGATAAATTTATAGAAACTTACTTCCAACCTGTCACAACTGATTTCATCATTTTCAAAGGATTTATAATTCTGACAAATGACTTATAGATTATGGATCATTAGACGTAGTATTTGACTAATTTTATTAACTACTTAATCTAATTGCTATTCACTACTGAACAATCAATTAAAGTTTATCAATTTGTTATTGTTGGATTCATCCACAGAAAGATTATGACATGTTATTTTGGAAGACGAAAACTAATCAATAAAGTCAAAATACATTTCAGATAAATAGTCTATTAATCAAAAAGTTCTACTTTTAACAAGAACAATAATATTGTTAAACTTTGCATAAGATGTAAGATTGTAGTTAGAAGTAGACAACAGTAAACTCTTGACTCACATTTCGTGCTATTTGGTACTCGTCAGTAAGGTGCACCTATAAGCTTAAGGGAACTGATGCTTCTTGTAGACTACCTCTAACCACCATCTTGCATCTCAACATAATGGATGCGATGTTGAGCCACTAATACTAGTGACCACATTTAAACTTGATTAATATAATTCAATCTGCAATAAGAATGACTGGACACACATTATTATTGATTATAACCTACTGATTAATAAATTGCTCATTTATTCATGGTCATGAAATCAATTGTACCAACGTAGATAAAAGGTATTTTAATTAATATCATGATAAATTTGTTATAATCTATTCAAGTTTCATTAGAAACCAATAAAAATATCTTACCTTAAACTGATCAATAGCTAGTTATAGATAAATTGTGTTTTTATATACTAATGTACGATTGGTTGTCATTGTTATCTCATTAAGATTTGATAGTTTACAATGTATAAATTCATACCTTTGTATTGAATTACATTATAATATTTTTACATACCATTTTAGTCAAGAATAAATTAGTGTGTATGTCAATCATGTGACATCTGTTACTTTAGAAACATTTTACATAGGATTATTTGTAACATTTATAAAGTTTTAGTTTAATCTATAATATTAGATTTTGTCAATGGTTAAGAGCATAAGTCATTTGAAGCTAGACGATCATGGAAAACTTGGAAGCATTGGACGGCCGTTTCGTCCTATTGTGGAACTCCTCAGCAGTGCGCATCCACGACCTGGCCCTCTGCGAGATTCGAACACAGGACTAACTGGTTTCGCGCGCGAGCACTCAACCACTAGACCACTGAGCCGGCATCTAACGGCGTTAATGTCTAACTTCAACTAATCCGCGAAATTGAGCGACACATCCACGATTATCTTCAGTGAGTTACTATCTCACAACAGACCTGGTTGAACTCCACTGGTCACTACTTCTCACTAGAACTCCAGGATATACCTCGTGAAGCCAGTCACTAGTAAGCATATGTTGATTAATATCAGATGGGTTTTGTGGATATTATAGTAGTTTCAATGGTTAAAATCATGAGTCAGTTGAACAGATAACTAATAGTGTAAGTAAAGAGTACATTAAAATAAATAAACAATATATTTACAGGTATCCCAATGAGTGGAAAAATTAAATTTTCTTGACATTTCATGACTTAGTGTAAGCAACTTCTTCAGTGACTAAATAACCAAATCACTAAAATGTTTCACTAAACATTTACTCATTGTTTTACTTTCTAAATGATTATGTGTGTACAGGTGTTTACTAACTAAATATATATGTATCTGATTAATAATAATATAGATAATTCATTAGTATTCACTAACCATTATTAGTTTGATCATATAGGAATTATTAAAGAAAATAATTCAATAAATAATATGTTTAACGATTTTGAAATCCGTTTATTTAAGCTTTCAACAGCCGTGTCTCCTTTAAATTCCATATTCATAAGCAAGATTTTCTTCTATACTGTCGATACTTTTTCATGATGAATCTGTTCCAATGACATAATATATGAGAAACTATTTCAACTTTGACAAACTCTCGTCAGAAATGGTTATCCACTTACATTCGTCCTTAGTAATTTAACACCTAGACTTCATCATGAAGAAGCATCGACAGTACAGAAGAAAACCTTGTTTATGAATATGGAAAATAGAGGAGACGTGGCTGCTGAAATCTTAAATAAATAATATGTTTCTTTAATAAAGTGTGAAATAATCATCTGAAAGTATAGTATGTTAATGAAATATGAATAATATGAAAAAAGTAATTAAACTATGTTACTCAATAGAAGATTGAATTATTCTAAGAAAAATGATCATAACACTCTGAAGAGACTGGAGAAAAAAATTAACCGGATGATGTAATACAATAAGGTAATAAATAATGAAACAAATGAATATTCTTCAAGTAACTCAAATTAAAAATATTCAGTTTGATAGAAAATAAATCAAGACAATTAATTACAAGTTGATCATATTATTTTTAAAATAATGTGAACAAATTGTGTAGCAGTTATTTCTTCAAAAAGGCCCTTAAATGCCCTGGTGCGGTCGAGAGTGAGGAGAGTCAGCTCTCCCTCTCGAAATGCTCTTACATGGCCACGTGCATACAACCACTGTCAGGGAAGTCCTACTCACTGCCTTCTCGCAGCGAGGGTGTTGTTTA